ACCCTCAGTCTGACAGAGGGAGGAAATAGATGGCATTGAGGGGCTTGCTATGCAACCAGGAGGGAGGCAGCATTTAGAGGGCTCTTCATTTGAGAGCGGGGGGGGAGGGGGAGTCCACCCACCTTCTCCCCAAACCAGAAGAGGTGAAAGGGTTAAAATGCAACGGAATTACAAGAGAGGACCGACTGGACTTTGGCACCATTTGTGCTGTGAAAGGGGCAGAGACTCGGAGTGACCAATTTGTAGCTAAGAGCGGCAGGCTTGGAGCCGCTCTCTGGGTGTTAATTGAAAATAAACATACCATAAAACTGCCAGAGACTCATTAATTCTTATCGGAGCTTGCTTGCCCGCCTGAGATCATTACAGCTGCGTATAGCACACCACCTGGTTTCTTAACATACTTATTTATACAATGGGCTAGTACAAAGCAATGGTCTATACTGGGTCTGCCTTGTCTAAATCCTGCTTGCTCTTCGGCAAGAATAGGTTTATCAGTTATCCAATCGACTAGTTTATTGTAAAGATGCTTTGCAAATAATTTGCTAATTACAGGCAGCAAACTAATTGGTCTATAACTAGCCGGATTGGATGTAAGGCCCTTTTTGAATAAAGGGATGACTACCACTGTGGTCCAGACTTCAGGAAATAACCCGGATGAATAGATAAATCAGAATATTACCACCAGCAGGGAGGCCCACCAGTCAATGCTAGATTTCAACAGTTCTAGGGGCAAATTGTCTATGCTTGGTGCTTTATTATTTTTTAACTGTGAAATAAGGTTATTGATCTCAGTTATTGATACTGGAGGCCAGTCTGGTAAATTGGAGTAAACTATAGGTGTGTGCTAGAGATGATGAGATAAGAAACTGTGAAAACAACCCAGCTACAAGGATTTAAAAGGTTTGGATTGAGAGGGGATTTCATTCGGTGAAAGAGACGATGGGGGGAGGGGAGCTCACGGTTTGCTTAAAGTTTTTCTCTACATTTGATATGGGAACATTTGATATGTACAAGTGAGGATGGAAGAAATTGAAATATAAATATGTAATTTAACAGAACTAGAACTGTGTGTGAGAGAGAAAGGGACTGCGAGGGAAGGGGGGAAAGCTACGCTTTGAAAATATGGAGCAAAGTCCTCCCTAACCTCCGTTAGCCATAAAGGAATGTGTTTCAGTTAGGACAATTGGCCATAAATGAGCAGCAGGGAGGAAAGTAGTCTACCAGTTGGGGAAATAGAAGCTTTTGGATTAACCATCTGCAGTCTGGATTCAGACTGTTCTTCCTAGGCTGGAAAAATGGCGAAGACGACTTGTTCACTGAAAGCCAAATCACGGACAAAGTGATGCAGTGACTTTTGGAAACTGTGAGATAACTGCTTCTCCCAAGGCATGACAGGAACCGTCAACAGTTGTAGGAATGAAGGATACAACACCATACAGTGGTACCTCGGATTACAGAAGCTTCAGGTTACAGACTCCGCTAACCCAGAAATAGTACCTCGGGTTAAGAACTTTGCTTCGGGATGAGAACAGAAATCGTGTGGCGGTGGCGCGGCGGCAGTGGAAGGCCCCATTAGCTAAAGTGGTACCTCAGGTTAAGAACAGTTTCAGGTTAAGAACGGACCTCTGGAACGAATTAAGTTCTTAACCCGAGGTACCACCGTATATGGATAGGAAAACATAATGGGGGAAAACTGTCACATGCAGGAAAGAATAAGGATTACAGTTAGAGTTCCTCACTTGAAACTTTATAAATTACCTAATATACCAGCACAAATGAAATCACAAGATTGTAGCTGTTATATAAGGGATTATTATATATAGCTGAACGGAATGGAATGAAAATTATTAAGATTTTGGAATGCAGAAAAAATGTAGAAGAATGAAGTCATCAAATTTAGCATGCGGGGAGGCCAGTTTGATTAAATTGTATAATTTGATATTTTAATAACTGACATTAATAATTGTATTAATTGGATAAAATTTGTATTTTTATAATGAGGCTGCTATTGGAACCATATTGGAAAATCAATTAAAACATAATTAAAAAAGAAGCAGAAACCTAAGATTTCAGTTCCATGACCAATTTAAATACACATACAATGCAGAGTTGTTCCAGACTGCTGCTTCTGTTTATAGTGGCCATGTGTTCCATTTTAGAGAACAGCCCTCTATTTGAAGCACTCTCCAGTTCAAGCCCAGCTGAAAGACAAAGAACCCTAAGAGAGAGCAGGAGTAGTGTTGGAATGAAATCACGACAGACGAGTAGCAGGTGTCATGTGAGAGGCATCTCTCGAGCCAGCCCCGAGAACTCTCTTTTATTGAATATTACAAACATTGCCACAGGTGCGCTTGTTGCTGATTGGTTGATACAAACACAAAGCAACTTGTTGCTGATTGGTTAACACAAGTACAAGGCGAGGATTACGTATAGGCATTAATCACCAATAGATTAAAGGCTGGGAAATGGAGCACAGAACTAGACAGGCATGAAACCTCCTTATTAAATTATAACTAATGATTGATATAGCATGACTAAAACAATTACTAATGATTGATCATAACATGAAAGAATATAATAATCGAGTTCCGTAGATGTGGTCAGCTATGCATTAAGAACAGGTCATAGTGTTTTTCATGAACTTAAGATGAACTGAGCTTCCTAGAGAAATGAGGGAATGTTTTGGTATTTAGAACAGGTTGTACAGTGTGTACAGAAGCAGAGAAAAGCTTATAAGCGAGACTTCCCAGAATGCCAGAGAAAAGAAGCAGGACTTCCCAGAATGCCACAGTTATGTGCAGAAGCAGAACTTCCCTTCAGAGGAGCCTTGAAGTTGCTATCAACAGTGACAGCATCTGGGCCGCAGACTGAGCAGGCATTGAAGATCACCTGGCTACAGTCTTTCCCACAGTGGTGTATTTCTATTAAAAATTACAGGGTTGAAGCCAAATAAGTTCTACACAGAGTAGACCTATCAAAATGAATGAATCTAAGTAAGTCATGCACTGTGTCCTGCCCTGGCACTGCAGTTGGTGAATGCCAGGCCAGTTCACAATAAAATCTAATTCACTCATGCTTTGTATGTGAAGGAGTTGATTTGGTTCATATTACCAAGACCCAAGTGGGTGAGCTGAGCAGAGTCAATCTGACCCAGCTTTGCTCACTCAGTTATTTGGTGCACCACAAAATCAGATTAGAATGTTGGGAGGGTAACTGCTGCAATCATGCAAGGATCAGGGACCAACTAAAATGGTGCACTCCCAGAAATGTATGAAATCTGATGGATCCTTGAATGCTCTGAGATTTTCCAGTAGCTAATTATATATACAACTGCCCCCCAATGCCCTCTTTGGCACTGTAGAAGTTGGGCAGCCAGCTAGTTTACTGTGGAGTTCCAGGCAATTAAACAGTACAAGTTGTGTAAGTCTTATTATGAAGGAGGCTCACACAAGAGCACATAATCATGCCTGCTGTGTGGTGGTGACTGTGGAGAAAAAAAACTACTTGGAAGCCCACATACCACTAAGAAAAGCTACTTTGCAATGGAGGTGGCAATCATCTACCCTTATTAGTCACATATTGGAGACACCAGAGGCCTGTAGTGAAAAATCTGCAAGGCACTTTAAGGACAAAATTTTCTGCTCCATAAGGACTTGAGTGCAGCTTTTGGTATCTGTTGAGGTGACATGTACATTATCCTATCTGATTTTGTAGGGTCAGTTTGTTACTGATGCCTGAAGATGTGGGCAAAGACACTTGTAGCTGTGCTGTTTATTACATGCTTTCTTAACCCTGCCCATCCTGTCTTGTTTGTGCCCACCAATGATGGTCATTATTATTAACGACTTTGCATACTCTGCAAAGCTCACCACAGAGGAAGCGTGTGGGCGCAAGATTTATTAGCACACTTTGCAATAAATCTCTCACAGGTTATGGGGTTGTCCAGCCGGTGATTGATCAGCAGTAGAGAGTCAGAAGGTCGACATCAAAAGCTGGCCGGCGTGCTCGGAGTTTCTGGAAGTCTGACTAGACGAAGTGACTGGCTGAAGGGTGAATGTCGTTCCTGGTGTTTTTCCTGGAGAAGCTGCGGAGTAAGGCGGAGGCTGGCAACAGCTGTCTGTCAGGAGCAGTGAGTAGCAGCCGGGTCCCTGGTTCAGGGGGGGAAACACAGGTTGGAAGATGGCCCATCCCCTATCTTTGCTGTTTGAGAGGCTGAACATGTTGGGAAACTGTGTACGTGCAGCTACTCACACAGAGGCAATTAAGGTTTGGCAGACAGCCAGAAGGCAATCTGAAGGAGTAAGTTTGCCTGGTGATAACAGAGGCATGGAGACAGCTCCCTGACTGGTCAAGCTCTCTCAAGGGAGTAATAATTAATGGCCTACTAACTGGAATGTGTTAGTTCAGTGTTCAGTATTTCAGTGTTCAGTGTGTCAGTGAGTGTAGGAGTTTTGAGTCGTGTCAGAGAGAGCTAGCTAAAGATCTGTGTTCTGTTCCTGTAAATAGTCCGCTGTATATAATAAACACCTAACTACAAGTTCCTGGTTCTTGCTTCATCTATCCTGTCTGCAGCCAAGTCGCCAATTGCTTCCGTGGATTCTGCGTTTACTCTGCTAGGTCTGGCTAAGGTCCTGCAACTAGTCAGAAAGTCGCGAAACACCAATAGGTTTTACCAATAGATTATGGACCACAGATTGGCGCAGACTGGTTGCAGCAAGTTCTGAAGCAGTGGATGCCTGGGTCAACAGTCTCCCAGATTCCTAGCGTAGGAGTTGGCGAAGACTGGCCGGAGGTGATCAGAGGTAGCTGTGTCATGTGTATGTGTCGACGCCAGAAGCTGACCCGGCAAGACCTGCGTCTCCTGGGTGTTTGGACGTTTGGAGCTGTTAAGGACAGACACCAGCTGGAGTGTTTGGAAGCTGGATGTTGCAGATTGCTCTCTGGAGTTGTAAGCTGTGGGCTGCTGGTTCCTGTGTGTTGTGGAACACTGCTCAGAAGCGATGGCTTTTCCATTTGCGATGCCATTTGAACGGCTCAACAACCACAACTATTTGCTACGGTCTCGGCGCATGCAGGCTACGTTGCAGAGAGTGTTTCTCTGGGAGTCAGTGGACAAACCGCTTTTGAAGCCTGATGCTGAAGATAGAGATAGAGACCAAAGAGCAAAAGTCACGTTAATCCTGGGACTGGATGATTTGCAGCTGCCACATGTGCGTAGGCTCGATTCTGCGCGAGACGTGTGGTTGGTGCTGAGAAATCTCCACATTCGGGAGACGGCTAATTCGAAGCTGTCTATCCGGAAGGCTCTGCACAAGTCTGAGCTAAAACCAGGAGTCACAATGCAGAACCATCTCCACGATTTGCAGCTGAAGTTTGTGGCACTTCAAGAGAGAGGCTGTAATTTTCCTGAGGAGGAAAAGGTCTGCATTATCCTAAGTTCTCTCCCTGACTGCTGGGACAATCTCGTTCTCACGCTGGAAGCTATGTGTGAAGAAGATCTGACTCTGGATTATGTCACTGGCAGGCTGCTGGAGGAATGGCAGAGGCGTGAGGGCAAGGAGTTGTCGGCTTCAAGTGCTTTGTCAAGCGATCGGCTTGTGAGGAATGCAGGCAGCATTTCTGAAGAGAAACAGCCTAAACAGCGTACCCGAGCTACGGCTGGCGAAGAGGCTGCGTTTGCTGTTCGGCGTTGTTACCGGTGCGGTTCTACTCGGCATCTGAGGAAGCAGTGTCCGGAGGAGGTTGTGCCTGAGAGTCCAAAGCAGCACAAGCAGAAGAAGTTTGGAAAGAAGAAGCAGACGACACAACTTGTGACGGTCGAGTGTTCTGTCTGATGAGCGGCGAAACACCTGGATCATCAATTCAGGGAGTTCCCAACATATTGTTGTTTCAGAGGCGTTTTTTGCCAAGAAGGTTGCTACACCACGGAGCCAGGTGGCGTTGGCTGATGGGAGGAAATCTGTCAGGGAACTGGAGCCAGAGAGGGGGGAGAGAATGGGAACTTATTGGGAGAAAGTTCCTTTAATTAGCAGCTGCTCGTCTTCGGATGAGGAAGATGACGAAGGGCTGTCAGGAGGTAATGAATCTGAGAGGGAGGATGCACTTCCGGGACCAAGTACCTCTCGTTAGAGAGGAAGAAGGGGGGCTGGGCTCTGGAAATGGTTCTGCTGGCCGAAAACGAAAGGAAAAACAGTCAGGACAACTGACCCGCCATGAAAGTGTCGAACTTTTGAACTTGCTTTGTACATAGCTTCAAAGGCGTAATAAATCCTGTAAATATGGCTGGCTGCCCAGACTCTTATCTTCGCTAGCACTCACAACTCATTGCTGACAAAATCTGACGTGGAGTCGGGTGGCTCTGTGTTTGTCTCCTGTCTACGCACGCACCTGGACAACGTTTTGTGTGTTCCTTCGCTGAGGAGCAATCTGATGTCCATTTCCGGTCTACTGAAAGCTGGGTTTGTAGTGCTGTTTCGGGACAGTTACTGTGAGATCCAGAAAGGCGGAGAGACATTGGGGAGGGCTCTGGCAGAAAATGAGTTGTTTGTGTTAAAAAAACTGTGTTCAAGAGTCTGTACTAGCTAGCAATGACACACAACCTGTATGTAAAAATGAAGGTTTTCATAAAAAATGTTTGCATCTATGGCACAGGAGATTAGGTCACGCCCATTGGCAGAGTGTAACCAAAATGCCACAATTGAGTGATGGGTGTGTGTTACAGGGTTGTGACAAATTCCTTGATTGTAATGTGTGTAAAAAAGTTAAAAGCCACCGTGGGTCTTATCCCAGAAGTGAAAGGGTGAGCAAAAGATCATTTCAGCTTGTGCATGCTGACGTGGTGGGTCCTTTCACACTCAGCAGGGGTAATTTACGTTATGTGCTAACGATCATTGACGATGCCACAAGGTTTTGTTGGGTCTACCCCATGAAGCACAAAGGTGAAGTGTTTACCAAGTTCAAAAGCTGGGTGAACTATGTTGAAAAGCAATTTTCTTTCAAGGTGGCCAAGGTGCAGTCTGATCGAGGAGGCGAGTTTATGTCTGGACCTTTTCAGTCCTGGTTACAGACAAAGGGCATAGGTCATAGAAAAACGAACCCCTATAGTCCAGAAGAAAATGGATTATGTGAGAGAAAGAATAGGAGTCTTCAGGAGATGATGCACTCAATGCTTGAGGATGCTGGTCTATCAAAAGCTTATTGGGCCAAAGTGTTTCTTTCTGCGTGTTATGTACAGAATCACATTTTTCATAGATCAATTGGAACAATGCCCTATTTCAAATTGTTCAACAAAAAGCCCAAAGTTGATCATTTGCGTACTTTTGGTGTAAAAGTATGGGTTTATGTGCCTCGAGCGCAGAGGGAAATGGGTGATCCCAAAGCGCAACAGCTTATTTTTGTAGGTTACCAAGATTTGGGCAAAGGTTACAGGTTTGCTGTTGGTAAAAATGGGCTGGTTGTTTCAAGAAATGCTACGTTCTGTGAGCATAGTGGCTGGGAGAAGCTGCATGCCAATTCTGAGGTTTGGTTTCAAATATCAAAGGGGGAATCTTTGAGAGCTAATAGAAAACCAGACACAGACAAAGAAGAGGATTCTTCTGTTGAGACTAATGAGAATGGCAGTCAGTTTTTGCCAAAGGAGGAATTCCACTCTCCTCAAGGGGGGCGAGAATCTGAGGGGGATGACAGTGAAAGCGAAGACAGTTTCACTCCCAGAAGGTCTCAGAGGGAGAATAAAGGAGTACCCCCAGATCGTTTTAAACCTGGTACTGCTAATGTTTTTCATGTAGCTGCAGAACCTCAAAGCTACAAAGAGATGCTGGCGTTACCAGAGGACCAGGTTTTGCTCTGGAAAAGCGCTATGCAAGAGGAAATGGATTCTCTAGTTGAGTATGAAGTGTTTACGCCCACACCACCACCGAAAGGAGCTAAAATAGTGGGGTGCAGGTGGGTTTACAAGCTCAAGCTGTTAGCCACTGGGGATTTTAAGTACAAGGCACGTTTAGTGGCTCAGGGTTTTTCCCAAAGACCGGGGCTTGATTTTGACAAAGTGTTTGCTCCCACAGCTAGAAGTGAGAGTTTGCATCTGCTGCTGGCAATTGCAGTGAAACGCAAGTTAAAAGTAAACCACTTCGACATCCAGACAGCTTATTTACATGCTAGTTTGAGTGAGGAACTCTATTTAGCAGAACCCCCTGGTTTTGAGTCTGGGTCAGGCAACGTGTACAAACTTCACAAGGCACTGTATGGTTTACGACAATCTGCAAGAAATTGGAACAAGTGTTTAGATGTGGCTCTAGTTTCTTTAGGTTTCCAACACAGCGTTGCAGACAGTTGTCTGTATGGGCATGGTGATAAGGATAAAAAAGAGTTTTGTCTGGTCTTGGTTGATGATTTGTTATTTTTCTCTAAGACAGACAAAAAGATCAAAGCGTTTTCCACACAGTTAGCCAAAAAGTTCAAAGTGAAAGACCTTGGTGTTGCGAAGTTATCTTGCTCTGGACGTGTGCTGGGCAGAAGGTGGCAGTTTGTTGCTTAGCCAGGAAAAGAAAATCAAACAACAGCTAACAACTTACGGAATGCAGGATTGCAAAGGGGCAACTACTCCCATGGATTTAGGTTTTGTTAAGGCTTTGCAAGCTGATGAAAGCTCTGAGTTTGAGCAACCTGATTTGTATCAATCAGCTATTGGGAGTTTGCTGTATATATCACAGTGGAGCAGGCCTGATATTAGCTACGCAGTAGGGATTTTGAGCAGGCAAGTGTCTAAACCCACTGTGAGTGCCTGGAAAGCAGTAAAACATGTTGCGTGGCGAGATCCTGCCTCCCACCAGTAGAAATAAAGACACAGGACACAGTAATTTAGGTTAATGGGTTAAAATTAGGCCACAACTTTATTGGTTACAGGTGATGAGCGGTATTTTTTTTGTTTGTTTGTTTTTTTTTAAAGAATATTTATTCCAGTTTTAAAGTTACAAACAATATAGAAAAAACAAACCACACACATCTTACAAAAAACAGACAATAAAAAAAGAAATAAGAAAGACAAAAAATCACAGTAAAAAATAACAAAATTCAAATTAGACCATTACAACCTTTTTCCCTTTTACTTGTTTCCATGACTTCCTCTCACCTCCCTGCTTTGTATTCTACTTCAAATCGTATCTCCAGCAAATCCTTCTAACCTTCTTTTCTTTTACTTATTTTAACATTCGAAAGTATTTAATTCTCCTCTATCCTCATTTTACACTTCATATTTACTTATTCCATTATACCCTGTCTGCCAATACGGTCTAATATTCTTCTCCAACCTTTTTCTAACATTCTTTTATATTACAGTGTTTCTGAAGATATATTTTAAATTTTTTCCAGTCTTCTTCCATCAACCCTTCTTCCTGATCTCGAATTATGCCGGTCATCTCAGCCAGTTCCATATAGTCCATCACTTTCCTCTGCCATTCTTCTCGGGTAGGCAATTCTTGTGTCTTCCAATATTTCCCAATGAGTATTCTTGCCGCTGCTGTCGCATACATAAAAAAATTCCTATCTTCCCTTCGCACCAATTGGCTGACCATGCCCAAGAGGAAGGCCTCTGGTTTCTTCACAAAGGTGTATTTCAATACCTTTTTTAGTTCATTATATATCATTTCCCAGAAGGCCTTGATCTTTGGGCACGTCCACCAAAGGTGGAAAAAGGTTCCTTCATTTTCTTTGCATTTCCAACATTTATTATCGGGCAAATGATAAATTTTGGCTAGCTTGACTGGGGTTAAGTACCACCTATAAATCATTTTCATTATATTTTCTCTTAATACATTGCAAGCCGTAAACTTCATACCTGTGGTCCATAACCGTTCCCAGTCAGCAAACATAATATTATGCCCAACATCTTGTGCCCATTTAATCATAGCAGACTTAACCATTTCATCCTGTGTATTCCATTTCAACAGCAGATTATACATTCTTGACAGATTTTTAGTTTTAGGTTCTAACAATTCTGTTTCCAGTTTAGATTTTTCCTCCTGGAAACCAATCTTTTTATCTAGGTTAAAAACCTCCCTTATTTGATAATAGTGAAGCCAATCTCAGACTTTAGTTTTTAATTTGTCAAAACTCTGCAGTTTTAGTTTATCTCCAACTTGTTCTAAAATTTCACAATATTTTGGCCAGTTTGTCTCCATATTAGTTTTTTTCAATGCCTTTGCCTCCATTGGTGACAGCCACCTTGGTGTTTTACTTTCCAACAAATCCTTATATCTCACCCAAACATTAAACAATGCTTTCCTGACAATATGATTCTTAAAGGCCTTATGCGCTTTAACTTTGTCATACCATAAATATGCATGCCATCCAAACACGTTATCAAAACCTTCTAGATCCAAAATGTCCACATTTTCAAGAAGTAGCCAATCTTTCAGCCAGCAAAAAGCGGCTGATTCATAGTAAAGTTTAAGATCTGGCAGGGCAAATCCCCTCTTTCCTTCGCATCTGTTAATATCTTAAATTTTATTCTAGGATATTAGCCCTGTCAGATAAATTTGGAAATATCTCTTTGCCACCTCTTGAAACAGTCCATTTTATCCACAATTTGCAATGTTTGAAACAAAAACAGCATTCTAGGCAATACATTCATCTTTATCGCAGCAATTCGGCCCAACAATGATAACTTCAATTTTGACCGTATTTCTAAATCCTTCTTCACTTCTGACCAACATTTTCATAATTATCTTTAAACAAATTCACATTTTTAGCAGTCATATTCACCCCTAGATATTTCACTTTGTTAACTATTGTTAATCCTGTCTCTTTCTGAAACCTCTCCTTCTCAATCCCTGTA